AGTCAGATTTGCTCTAAATGCTTTGGTTTCAGAGATATAGGCCAAAATCTACATTTTACTCCTATGTTCTATTTTTAGCCATGGGGGCCATCTTGGTTGGATGGCCGGGTCAACGGACACATTTTTTAAACTAGATACCCCAATGATGATATAGGCCAAGTTTGGTTAAATTTGGCCCAGTAGTTTCAGAGGAGAAGATTTTTGTAAAAGTTAACGACGACGGACGACGACGGACGACGGACGCCAAGTGATGAGAAAATCTCACTTGGCCCTTTGGGCCAGATGAGCTAAAAAAGCAGTTATCTACATTTCTATTAGTTGATGCACAGTTTTCCATTTTAGGCGGAATTTTGACGAACTTTCATAAAACGTTTGTTTCGCGTTATTAAATAAAGTTATACTTTCTTATTAAATAACTCTCTCCATTACTTTATACCACCCAGCTTGTAACATATATCGGACATAAATCGGAAAGTAGATGCTGAATCCACCTTTTTTCCAATAACATTTGCAATAATACAATTATAACAAAAAATACATTCTTCAAGTGATTTATTAAAAAAATATTGAATTAAAGCATTGGTAGAGTTTTTGAATAACATTAACAATTTAATTCAATAATATAGAAAATGTATCATAGATATCGTTTCATGTCTGTGGGAGAAATATGGAAGAGAACAGTTTTTCATTTCTAATTTGGAAATAACACATAATATATGTGCATGTTAGAAGATAACATTTCTCGTCTTCATTACACACGGTATCATCAATCGAATTATCATTTATACAGATTTGTAGTAGTGGAATATATACAAGCACCTCTATTTGATAAATGAGATTTTCATGTTTTTTCACTAAGTTTTTGGAATTTAAAACATCGTCATATAATTATTTTATATTCAGATCCATGAAATCCAATAGATTATGTCATATTAAAAGTGTAAAATTAAATAAAACAAAAATTGTTGACGTACAATAAAGTGCTATATAGAATTGCCACGTGTTCAACACTAAAATCTTGTGTGCGTATGTCAATTAACAATTTTATAACTTGGGTGGGAGTGATTGACCAAAAATAGATACATGGGAGGCGTAAGCAATCCACATTACGTTTTAACAGGCTAAGCGATAAACTTTGTCCATCAATCACTTACTCATTTAAGATAATAATTTATTTGTCCATAGACGATAAATTAGAATTGATGAAGCAATAAAAATAGCGGTTAACCGAATAAAATAGCGGTTAACCGATAAAAATAGCGATTAACCGATAAAATTAGCGGTTAACCGGTAAAACTAGCGGTTAACCGGCATATTTATAGCGGTTAACCGACATAAAAGTAGCGGTTAACCGATAAAAATAGCGATTAACCGATAAAATTAGCGGTTAACCGGTAAAACTAGCGGTTAACCGGCATATTTATAGCGGTTAACCGACATAAAAGTAGCGGTTAACCGATAAAAATAGCGGTTAACCGATAAAAATAGCGGTTAACCGATAAAAGTAGCGGTTAATCGATAAAAATACCTTTTGAACCAAATGGTACACCATATACTCGTAACATAATTACAGAAGTAACTGAGCCAATGAAAATCAGTTTAGGCAAATACACCACGCCTCCTACCATTTCGTTATGTTGATATTGCATTGATAATAGTCTTTCAGATACTAGTCTCTGTGATCACAGATATGGCTAGACATTATAAGAAATATGCTAAAAGAAGTAAACATAAACGAAGGCTGAAAAATAAAGCTGCAATGCAGCAAAGTAAACTAAAATTTATGATTTCACAAGCTAGAAAACAGGTTGTTAATCTTTCGCATAGAAAATTAACTGATGACGAGTATTTGGTATTATCCAGAGGTTTGAAATTCATTCCTTCACCGTCAGTCAAAAGGGCAAAGCAGGACTTATTACATGATTTCGATGAATTAGCCAGAAAAATGAGATGGCGTTACTTATATCATGGTAACTTTGATGAAATTCATCCTTTCAGAGTTAAATCTGGACACACGCCACCTTTAACCTGCAACACCCTTGAAAATTACCTGTTTAATACAAAGCACGAACTATCTTCAATGCAAATTCGAAAATTTCGAAAGAATCTAAGTGTTTCACAGAGGGCCGGCATTTCTGCTCTGTTAAATGATGAATCATTAATCATTAAGAAAGCCGATAAAAGTAATAGTGTTGTTATTTTAGATTAGGTCAATTACCTTCTTGAAGGCGATCGCCAATTAAATACACAACATTACACCAAATTGGAAAACTTTGACCTAAAAGCACTTAGATGTAATATCAATACATAAGTCAAAGGCATGTACACCAAAGGTGTTAAAGATTACTCCACATTTAATTACCTTAATAATGGTAATCAAATTGATTATGGGCCTGGGTATATGCATATCTTGCCTAAAATACACCGATTAAATGAATCGGAATTAGTAAAAATCAATAAATATGGGTTTAACATTGATAACATAATGCCGCCATGTCGGTCAATCATATCTCAGATTGGTACTGTCACAGAATTTATTGGACGCTATATCGATTATTTTTTAGTACCTATGGTACAAAAACAACACACTTATATAAAGGATACGTCTGATCTAATATACAAGTTGGAAAGGAGTAAGCCTAATGCAGATTGCTGGCTGTGTAGCTTTGATGTAGTATCAATGTACACTAATTGCCCGATCAATGAATTATCATCGGCAGTTAGAATTTCGTATGATCAGTTTGATAAATCAGATTACAAAATCAAATGCCCACCTACGGATGATTTAATCTATCTCCTCAGATCAATTTTAGAGAACAACATTTTTGATTTTAATGGACAGCTTTATAAGCAAAAAAAAAAAAAAGCGCCGCGATAGGAGCAGTGCCAAGCCCGTAAATCTGTGATATACTCAAATATAAAATTATGAAAGAAATTCTTTCTAAGTTTGAACATAGAAAAAATAACTTTTTTTATGGAAGGTATCGTGATGATATTATATTAATATGTCACGGCAACTGGAAGGAAATAAAGGATTTGTTAGAGTTAGCAAATTATCATCATCCGTTCCTGAAATTCACACTAGAATTTTCCTCTAGAGAAATAATATTTCTTGATGTTAATATTTTCAAAGGAACTAGGTTTTCTAATGAAAATATCTTGGATGTGAAAACACACTTTAAACCGACAAATGCCTTCCTTTATCTAGATCGTAAAAGCTGTCATAGTCGACACGTGTTTGCAGGGTTTATCAAGGGCGAAGTTATCAGATACATTAGAACAACAAATAGTGATGTTGATTTACAATATATTTTGTTACAGTTCAGATTGAACTTAATAAAGAGAGGATACAAGGAGATTGAAATCGAAAAGTACATAATTGAGGCATTATCATGTAATAGATCTGATTTAATCAGAAAAAAGGCCAAAAAACACACAAAGGAAATTCCTTTAGTATTGGCAACGAAATTCAATCCATGCATTCATAAATTAAAACAATGCATTAGTAAACAATAGGATCTACTAAAACAGGATGCGGTTTGCAACGAAATATTTTCAAGCAAACCAATAATAGCTTATAAAAAGCATAAAAATATAGCAGATTTATTGACAACGACAAAATTAAAATAAATTGATAGGTAAATCCCTGATGATGGCGGGCCTACAATGCTTTAACCCATTCATAAATGTTATACATTTATCATTAGCATATAATACAAAAACCGCCGAAACACTAAATTAGTGTCGGATTGATGTAAAGCAATTGCAAGTCTAGTAATATTAGCATCATGTGATCAATATTTTGTAATATAATTACAATAAAATACTTATAGTATGTATACGGAGTCCGTTCCGAATAAGATTTTTTGCTATCGGAATTCGGATTGATGTTTGAATACGTGGATGTTGGGTGTCACTTTTATACAACGTCATTTCCTGTCATTTTGAACATGTCACTTAATTCCTATCATATGGGTTTTGACGCCATTATTAATGACGTAACGGAATTTTGTTCGGACCGAGGCTTGATATGACCCGAACCGTAAATGAAAAGCTACGCTAGACCTTATCATGAGTTTTCCGCATGCAAGGTACGATTGAAAATTTTACCTACAATTTGGCGTCCGAATTTGTTTTAGCTGCAGTATAAACTCTTGGAATTATCTAAGATGTAATTTGATTACAAGCAAGACAACTCTCAACCATCGAACAAATAACGATAACGATACAAGTCATCGTATGGCCTTAAATGATGAGTAAATGATAAGCTATGATATAAAACATATATACGTGGGCGCGTAACCCTGCATCTAAACTTGGATTTTGAAATAACAGCGCAACATTGAAGCAGACTAGAAACAATAATTGAAAAAAAGGCTCATTAGATTGGCATAAGTTACAAAACGGCAGCAAAATGACAAAAGACAAACATAATTGATCTGATAGTACCTGAAGTTACTGAAAGGTTGTTCACAGCCAAATTTCAACTTATATATACATGTATATATAAATGGTAGATATGCTTGAATAGACCTCTTTGCCTGCAGGTCAAAGGCAGATTCATTTCTGGTATTATAAATGTAATAAATCCAATTTATTTCTTCAGCGTGAATATTTTAAATTGTTATCACACAACAAAATCGTGTTACACTGATAACGAATATTTAGTAATATAGTATGTTGCTTGTCTTCTAAAGAAGCTGTAACTAATAGACGGTGTTTTAAATTTCTATTGATTGTGTATTTCCTTTGAAAATATTTATTGCATCATCTTTATTACATAACGTTTAAAAACAGTAATCCGTAGTTCTACTCGTAACACTAAGTCTTTAGTTTTCTATGTTGTGTTTTGTAAACTCTTGTTTGTGTTTTGATAGTTTTTCGTTTTTTGCCATGTAATTGTCAGTTTGTTTTCGATTTATGAGTTTGAATTCCCTTTTTGTATCTCTCGCCTTACTTTCATAACAAAGCAAACTTTAATAGTATTTTCGTCATTTCAGATTCTGATCAACCAATCGTATATATAACTCCCAGAAATAGCAGTATTTATGTACATAGACATGATAATGTGACATTAGAGTGTGCATTTGTATCGCTTGCTAACATTACGAGTTTCAAATGGATCAAGCATGGACAAACTGGACAAACAATTTTAAATGAAACCACTAATTTTTCCGGAGCTTCTCACAGCGTACCGCTATTTATGTCTGATTTTATACCTGAGGACATAGGTACTTATCAGTGTAATGTTTCTAACGAGAATGGCGGACGTGATGACAATGTAACCATACGCATATTTGAAGGTCAGTTTATTTTATGACAACTTTACTAAAAAAAAACATATAGAAAGGTTATTTTTTTTTTTAAATAAATGGTTTATTGCACGATTAATCTAGAAAAATGAAATAATTATAACTCTATTAGGTTTCATGAAACTCTGATACTGTCTAATTATAAAAAAAAATATATATATACATTTTTGTAATAACTACATTTAAATATACAATTTAAGACGAAACAAAAATAATAAAAAGCATATCAAATAAATGAGAGGTATACACTGCCACGAACCATCAAATAGGGGCGAATATAAACCATTGTCAACAAAACAAAACACAGACAAAAACTAAAGATTTAGCAATAGTACCACAAGTCATGTGGAACCATTTATTGTGGAAATAACAAATATGATTGTTTTCATAATGTCAACAAAACATTGAACAAAATGTGTACATAATATATATAAACAACATTTTCCAAAAGACCAAAAAGTGAAAAAGTATATTTTAACAAAACGCATTTGACTAACAGGTCGAACAACTGATGTTCTTAAACCCTGCTGACTGCCATTGGCGATTGCCAAATAAATTGATCACAAGATGTAACAAAACGAATCTTTATATATAAATTTAATACCAAACAGAAAACATTAAACTTGCGGCAAAGATGTTATACCACAAACATGAGGTGCAAAAATTAGTACACCATATCCGGATTTCGACAAATAATGTCTCTTCAGTGATGTTAAGGATCGAAACGGTATTTGGAAGGCCATATAATTTACCTCAACTATATATATATATACGTGTATTTTGTTATCAATCAGAAACCCCTGACCCTCAAATAACACTTGAAATATACCAGCTGAATCTTGGTGGAGACGTTCATTTGGACTGTATGATTGACTCATATCCAGAAATATTGGATGTTTGGTGGATGAAAGACGACAGTTCAATAGATAAAACAGATAGTCGGTACAGCGGATCTGTTCCCCTGGAACCATCCCTTAACATATCTATTACTACTACAGACGATATTGGATATTACAGATGCTGTGCAAACAATTCAAAAGATTTCAACTGTAGTAACAACATACTAGTTGGATGTGAGTTGACTTTCTTTCTACAAAATTCAGCAACAAAACGAACAAAATCATTCTTTTTGTTTATAAAAGGCCGCCATAAGATAATGTAAGAGAAATATCTGTGGCTGACAGTAGTAGTACCGTACCATCTGACTGAGTCTTTGAAAGTATCTTAGTTGATACGAAATGCTATCAAGTTTTCATTATGTCAATTTCACTTCAAGTCAGAAGCTATTCATATATTGCCATGGAGAAGAACTGCTCACAAGTTTACAGTAGCTGTTTGGTGACCGTTACAGTTTCTAGCTTAATAAACTTGCGGTGATTCATACATAGAAGGCGACATTTGCCTTGTCTGGAATTTTTGCATTCAAATTTTTTTGTCATCAATATATTACCTTTTCTCTATATTCAGTGGAACAGACATTCATGCGGCAAAATCGTGCATCTAACTTACTGCCAAAAACAACCACGCGTTCCCGAAGTTATTTTTTCTATAACATAATACCCCATGTGTTATCAAACGTATGCTCCGCTGTATGCATCTATGGGCTGTTTATAATGAAAAAAAAGTTTGTTTATTCTTTTCTAACTGCTTTACCTTGAGATGTATCTACGTTGCTCTTTTATGCGCCGTCTGTACATGTATCTGAATTTATGGAACTTTTCCATTTCAAAAACAGCTTTTATACCCGATGTTCATTCTCCTTGCATATATTAAATGAATTTAAAAAAAATTAAATTGTAGCAATTATTAGTTTAGGATAAACAATTACTACTTATAGATTTATTTGTTTAAGAAAACGCTGAGGATAAAATTCGAATATCACGGCCCAGGCCATGTGTAAATTTCCAAAAATCTATGGCTTCCATGAATTATTTCGATTCTAATAGGACAAATATGGTAATTTAAAAAGTGAAGCGAGGTTGGGTATGCCGTTTGTGTGGCTGTTCTTTTTACCCCCTGTTAGATAAAGCTAAACATTTTCCATTAAATCTATAACTTGCATAAATTATTTCCTAAATAACCGCTAGAAAAAATGTGTTTAATTCTTTTAATTCTCAACTCCAACATTTGCCATTTTTTGTTTACATTTTTTCTCGTAAGCTATCGTCAAATCCACAGTTGACATTTTGTAACTAAGGAGCCGCCATGTTCACTTGCTGAAATCAGTAAATACGCGAATAATGCAAAAGAATAGAAAATAAAACACTAATTACCTCAAAACTCCATTTTAATGCAATATTATCCGAATTTTGATGGTTCACGTAACGGAAAACATTCAGCTTTAGCGTGTTCATTCTTATGACGGCATGTTTTTAAATGACTTTAATGCGCCAAAAGCATTAATTGAATTTCGCGGTAATTTATTTTAGTTTGACTTTGTACATTTTCCCGAGCTCTAATGCATTAATTCTTTTTGTTATGCATCAGAATAAGAATAAAGGTTCTGTAGTTTTTTTTTTTCAATTGCAATTTTTAACACAGCGAAATCGGCGTAGCGTTTGCACATAGGTTACGATACATGTGGAATTACGTTGGAGGTAAATTGTAACAGCCATTATTATGTACATCTCTGAGTGTGCGCTAAGTATAGATATATCGAGAATTTTATCACGTTGTTGTTTACAAAGCGAAGGAAGCACGTCATATTAGAATGAGCTATATACAAATTACAGTCATTGGATATTGAAAGTTACATAAAATAACGCGTTTCTGCTCTGTTTTCAGCAAACTGTGTGAATATCTTGTTGTTATTAGGTATTGTGTTTTGAATGAATCAATACCTGCAAATAGATAGCTACTATATCTTTAAAAAGTCCAGATTGTCTCTTAATTGCATGTAAAATTCATCTTTCTTAGCTTATTATAACGAAATCAAACATAAATATTGACCGATGTCCTTTTCAGACCTTCATAATTGAACTCTCATGGAAATATTCATTACAAAATTATTGATGAACAAGACGACCTTTCCTCTCCTATATATAGGTTTTCTTTCCTTGTTCCGTTTCTCCTTAAGGAGTGTAAATTTGACAATTGCCTCGATATGCCCGTATTTACAGTGACGTCTCAGAGTTTAATGTATGTAATAGTTGAAGCATGTACTGAATTACATCTTAGCCGAAAAAAGATTACTTGTGTATATTTCTTTTCGGAATTTCGAGTCCTCAGTGCTCTTTAACTTCGTACTTAATTTGGCCTTTTCAACCTTTTTTTTGTGTTATTCATTAGATACTAGTTTAAAGCAATACGAAGATGTTTCTTTTGATTATCTGTTGAGTTTGTTTCCCTGTACTGTTTGAGATATTTCTGTATGTAATCTTCCAAGACGAGCACCAAGACATATTTGAGTGTAGGATGTCATGATCATATCTGCGTGTTCTTTTAGCTTGATTTCAGTAGGTGCGGTCATACAACTTTTTTGTTTTTATTATGTTTTAACGTCAACTTGTTTCTGATTTTTTTATTCACAGCTTTTATAGACCCAGGACGATTAAGAGATTCATATATTACATGTTATAAATTTCGAGGTTCCATGTGTGATTCATTTTAACGAAATTTATCAAACCCCGAAAGGCCCTTTGTGATGCGGCATTTCCAGATGTAAATTTCTTTTTAACACAATGAAGTTGCCTTGCATTTTAATGATTTGCAAGCATTTAATAACTCCTTAGTTCTACATTTTTATCCTATGGTCCGCTGCTCTTCAGGACATGGTTTCGGCTAGTCTATTATTAAAAATAGCAACATTTCCAATATAGTTTCACAGACATGTTTTGGTTCACATATTTGTTGTTCTTGGAAGTGTTTGCTGGTAAATGAACATTCATTATTTGTAGACCGGTCAGATTTAGCAAAATAGGTCTTCATTGTGTAAATTGTTCACTTCAAAAAGAGGCAGAAAAGACAAAAGGGACATTCAAAAATTCATAAGTTGAAGAGAAAACTGACAACGCCATGTCAAAAAACGAAAACAACGATTAAAAGACTTACATGCCAACACAAAAAAACTACATCAAAACTAAAATCTGAGTAATACGAACACCACCACGCTCAAGATTAGTACAAATATGTTGACGAGTCTCATTCAGTGATGTCCCAATAGATAACAAGAGGACGGAATTGTAGTAAGGGCAGTTGGAGCATTTCCGTGATTATCTGTGACACATTGCCGAAACACGATATTATTAGCTCACCTGACCTGAAAGGTCAAGTGAGCTTTTCTCATCACTTTGCGTCCGTCGTCCTGCGTCCGTCGTCCGTCGTCCGTCGTCCGTCGTCCGTAAACTTTTACAAAAATCTTCTCCTCTGAAACTACTGGGCCAAATTTAACCAAACTTGGCCACAATCATCATTGGGGTATCTAGTTTTAAAAATGTGTGGCGTGATCCTGTCAACCAACCAAGATGGCCGCCACGGCTAAAAATAGAACATAGGGGTAAAATGCAGTTTTTAGCTTATAACTCAAAAACCAAAGCATTAAGAGCAAATCTGATATGGGGTAAAATTGTTCATCAGGTCAAGATCTATCTGCCCTGAAATTTTCAGATGAATCGGACAACCCGTTATTGGGTTGCTGCCCCTGAATTGGTAATTTTAAGGAAATTTTGCTGTTTTTGGTTATTATCTTGAATATTATTATAGATAGAGATAAACTGTAAACAGCAATAATGTTCAGCAAAGTAAGATTTACAAATAAGTCAATATAACCGAAATGGTCAGTTGACCCCTTTAGGAGAAATTGCCCTTTATAGTCAATTTTTAACCATTTTTCGTAAATCTTAGTAATCTTTTACAAAAATCTTCTCCTCTGAAACAACTGGGCCAAATTAAACCAAACTTGGCCACAATCATCATTGGGGTATCTTGTTTAAAAAATGTGTGGCGTGACCCGGCCAACCAACCAAGATGGGCGCCACAGCTAAAAATAAAACATAGGGGTAAAATGCAGTTTTTGGCTTATAACTCAAAAACCAAAGCATTTAGAGCAAATCTGACAGAAGTAAAATTGTTTATCAGGTCAAGATCTATCTGCCCTAAAATTTTCAGATGAATCGAACAACCTGTTGTTGGGTTGCTGCCCCTGAATTGGTAATTTTAAGGAAATTTTGCTGTTTTTGGTTATTATCTTGAATATTATTATAGATAGAGATAAACTGTAAACAGCAATAATGTTCAGCAAAGTAAGATTAACAAATAAGTCAACATGACTGAAATGGTCAGTTGACCCCTTTAGGAGTTATTGCCCTTTATAGTCAATTTTTAACAATTTTTCGTAAATCTTAGTAATCTTTTACAAAAATCTTCTCCTCTGAAACTACGTGGCCAAATTAAACCAAACTTGGCAACAATCATCATTTGGTTATCTAGTTTTAAAAATGTGTGGCGTGACCTGGTCAACCAACCAAGATGGCCGCCACGGCTAAAAATAGAACATAGGGGTAAAATTCAGTTTTTGGCTTTTAACTCAAAAACCAAAGCATTTAAAGCAAATCTGACATGAAGTAAAATTGTTCATCAGGTCAAGATCTATCTGCCCTGAAATTTTCAGATGAATCGGACAACCCGTTATTGGGTTGCTGCCCCTGAATTGGTAATTTTAAGGAAATTTTGCTGTTTTTGGTTATTATCTTGAATATTATTATAGATAGAGATAAACTGTAAACAGCAATAATGTTCAGCAAAGTAAGATTTACAAATAAGTCAATATAACCGAAATGGTCAGTTGACCCCTTTAGGAGTAATTGCCCTTTATAGTCAATTTTTAACCATTTTTCGTAAATCTTAGTAATCTTTTACAAATATCTTCTCCTCTGAAACAACTGGGCCAAATTAAACCAAACTTGACCACAATCATCATTTGGTTATTTAGTTTTAAAAATGTGTGGCGTGACCTGGTCAACCAACCAAGATGGCCGCCACGGCTAAAAATAGAACATAGGGGTAAAATTCAGTTTTTGGCTTTTAACTCAAAAACCAAAGCATTTAAAGCAAATCTGACATGAAGTAAAATTGTTTATCAGGTCAAGATCTATCTGCCCTGAAATTTTCAGATGAATCGGACAACCCGTTGTTGGGTTGCTGCCCCTGAATTGGTAATTTTAAGGTAATTTTGCTGTTTTTGGTTATTATCTTGAATATTATTATAGATAGAGATAAACTGTAAAAAACGATAAATGTCGGCAAAGTAAGATCAACAAATAAGTCAACATGACCGAAATTGTCAGTTGACCCCTTTAGGAGTTATTGCCCTTTATAGTCAATTTTAACCATTTTTTCGTAAATCTTAGTAATCTTTTACAAAAATCTTCTCCTCTGAAACTACTGGGCCAAGTTAATTATAGATAGAGATAATTGTAAGCAGGAAAAATGTTCAGTAAATTAAGATGTACAAACACATCACCATCACCAAAACACAATTTTGTCATGAATCCATCTGCGTCCTTTGTTTAATATTCACATAGACCAAGGTGAGCGACACAGGCTCTTTAGAGCCTCTAGTTTTGGAAATCTCTGCGATAAACTCATATTATCTATATTATTCAAAGACGTCTGGAACGAGATACAAATGTAGTAATTCTTTAATGTACTTCTAGTCATTTGTTTGCAGATATGCCTATCATTACTTATTCTACACATTATGCAGAAGGATTCCTGGGAAAGCCATTTCACATCACGTGTGAAGTGAAATCTGCTCCTGAAATCCTTGATGTTTCGCTTCAATTTAAAGGAAAGATTGTGGAAGCAAATGTCTCCAATGTATTCACTGGAAATCACCAAGAAAAATTTGTATTTACTATTATCGACCCAACATTACAGGATAGTGGAAATTATACATGCAACGCAACTAATGTGCACACATCCAGCATTAGTGATGCAATTACAATAGAAATATATGGAGGCAAGTTCTAATTTATATTTTTCTTTCTTTATTCTTTCCCACTTGTTGGCTATATTTATGTTTAGATGTTGCTTTTGCAAGAGTCATATAAAATTGAAGTCATGTGAAACGCGTTTTTTGTAATTCTAATGTTTTAATAATCGAAATTATTGAACCAATGCATGAATATATACTAAACAAACTTCTGTATGCACGTTTTTTTTTATATTTATTACGAATCTATAACGTATTATCGACAAATAATATTTCATTCAGTGATTATTGATCGTTAGCTATTCAACTTTGGAATTTGTTGTCGAAGTTTACCGGATCGTGACATTGATATACAATCATCACAGAGCATGTGGAGCACGTAAAATTAAGTGAATTGGTAGAGCCAGGATATATTTGTTAATTAAACTTTTCCTTAACAGTTGTTAAATTATTTGTTGTATTAAATATGTTCTTTGAGAATCAGTTATTACTTTTTACCTTCCAGTGCACGTTTGTTTACAATCTTTTATCACGGTTTTCCCCTCGCACTTGCGCTGTGCGATGGCCGAAGTTCTAACGAGAGGTCTTATAGTCAAGGTCACTGCATACGAAAAATATAGGCAAATTAATGTACGGGAAGACAGTAATTCAATAACAGTATATTTATGAAGATTTTGTTAATACAAAGGATTTTCTTTTACAAGAAAGTTAGCGTACACTTGTTTTATAGTAAAATTTAGCAATCCAAGGAAACAAAACATTTTGAACTTTTTTCTTAATTTAAGGTTTCATATGACTTTAATTTACTTTAAATTTTTCTAAAAAAATTAGTTCGATTATTCTTTATTTTGTCAATAATGGGCTAAAATGTCCGTTGGATTATAGATCATGATTGTATATTGAAAGAATACCATTACCATAAAAGTTCCTTTTCTGTATTTACCAAATATATTAAATTATAGATTATCGATGGTTTTTCAAACAAGAGGGTGTTTCTCAACTACAATCTCATCGAATGGCGACAGCCCTGAGATTAGATGTGGCCGAGAAACATCCTCGAATCGCTATTTTGCCTATTGATGTTTACATTGACAACGTCACGTGCGCCCTAAGTTTCTTATGATAATTTTCCATCTCAAGCGAGTAGCATGATATGAAAAATTTAAATAAAAAAAAAAGATCAAAGGAAAAATGCACAAAGTAGCGATAAATTGTGCACAGTAAGTAAACGCACCCATTAAAATATCTTGTGTTTTTTTTTTAAATAATTTAAAGACGTCTGAAAAACAATACAAATACACTTGCTTTTTGTGTGCATCTTGTCAAGTTCTATAATTTGTTTTTTAGTAGCACCTTTCATAGTAAATTTCACACCCTACTTAGAAGGATTCCTTAGATATTAGAAGATGTGGTATGAGTGCCAATGAGAAAACTCTCCATCCAAGACATAATTTGTAAAAGTAAACCGTTATAGGTCAAAGTACGGCCTTCAACACGGAGCCTTGGCTCACACCGAACAGCAAGCTATAAAAGGCCCAAAAAAGGACTAGTGTAAAACCATTCAAACAGGAAAACCAACGGAAGTCATCCTTTCTATTTTAAAATGAGAAGGTGTTCTTGAAAAAAATGTAACTGTGATAACATTGTTTAAACTATGATCACAATTTTAACCTGTAATTTTGAATTAACGGTTCTTTTAAATTATTCAAAGATTGAAAAGATTGTGCACCATACAACAAATTCAATGACTATTCAGACAACATATACAATACCTTCCGTTAATGTTAATACAATTTGCAGTGTAGTACGATTTCGATATGTCATCGTTATCAGTTCTTATAATATGAATTTTGTTTTTAATAAATTACAACACAACTAAATTCTCGTGGATATACAGTTATGACCAAATATTGTCCTACATCCTGCCGATACTTATATTTTATATTATGAGAGGTTATGCTTTTTTCAGACTATTAATGTCGTGTTAACACCTAGCTACATTCTTTATGTGCATATCCCAATTCAGCAACCTGTAATTTAGTATTGGTCTTGTGTTGCTGTCTGCTTGATTTGTCTTTTGTTTATAGTTTCAGCATAGTACAGAGCGTTCGTTTGAATTGTTCACATTTTTTTTTATGGCGTGGCCTTTTATAGCTAAAGGTATGGGTTTTGCTTATTGTTCAAAACCGTACGGTGATCTCTTGTTGCTTAAATCCACGTCCTTTGGTCTCTCGTGGATAGTTGTCTCATTGGCAATCGCACAACATCTACTTTTTTGTAAATGTTAATCTTTTATGTTTGCAATTTAAGAAAAACAATAAGTATAAATCATTATTTTAAGGGCAAAAACTCCTATATGAGTCAATCGACATTTACGGTATTATTGAATTGTTTGTACTTCTTGGTTCTTAATCACTGTTGCTGTTTATGATTTTGTTTATCAGGCATTCAATGCATTTACCAATAATGTTAAAATAAGTCAATAATCTGCATTTAGGGTAATAACTTCTTAAGAAGTCATCGGACATTTTCTTAAAAATAGCAAAAAAGGTAGCTTGACATTCTAAGTTTTTTCCCCTGTCCCTTGTTTGTTATAATTCTCAGGATATAATTCAATTAGCGAACACTTAACCTTTGAGTTTTTTGTTTGTTTGATCTGTTTTAATATGTTTTTTGGTTGACGGCGATAAAAAAGTATTTACTTAATGATAGAGATTCTAGAGATGATCATTCTCGCAACTTTGGTTCAATGGGCTAAGTAGTTTCAGAGGAAAACACTTTTGAAAAACTGTTCGACGACAATTGACGCTATGTACAAGTAATGTGATGGCCAAACTTCATATTGTCAACTAACAATTGAGAGAATGTGTCGCAAAATTGCGTTCTGGCTGTATTTGTCAACTTTTCAGTCCATGTTCTTTATAATAACAGTTAAAGTTCAATCAGTCAATCAATCATAAATTTATATGTGAAGTATTTAATTCTGTCCAGAAATGAATGAGCTTTGAAAGATACGTTGCTATTAGGCCAATTGAACTTACCCATTACTCATAATTCCTTCAATGCATTTGCCGAAAACTCTATTATTTGCTCCACGATTTAGTTAAAATGGAAAGTCCCGAATTTTTCTAGGTACATTCTAAAAATATCAGAAAACACAAATTTTACGAGGCCTGATACGATGAGACTTTTTTCAACTTATAAGAGACATGTTTTCACAGTTTAAGACAAGAATACCAGAATACCAATGTTGTCCTTTCTGTAAATTTACGGACTCTTGTCTTATTCCTTATCATGATAGCTAACATGATTAAGGATTTGAATGGAAATGGATGCATGTAAAGCAGGTGATTTCTTCACTTGGTTTGTTTATTCAAAATGTATTTACGAGATTTGTATATTTTTGTTAACTACTGTAACCCGCATTTACAATATGAAACTTAAAAGAAATGTGGTCAATTTGATTTCTGAGCATGTGACACTTTTGCTCTCCTTGGTTTAGTACGAAGTTTTTTCATCCATGTCTCATTCAAACAATATCTGTTATGATATTTTTGTTTTAGACTATCTTATTTAATATCTGACATTAACTTCTTTTTTTATTGACAATTTCATTATAAGAAAAAAAATTACGAACCAGGTAAGGTGTTATATATGTTATACAGTTTGGGCTATATATAATTCTTTTCATTGACTGCTCTACCAAATGTTGTGTAAATTTGGATTTTATTAATCATACCATGATGGAGTTTATTCCATCAGAACGTGTTGGACGAAGCTTTAAAAAACCACTTCTTTAATTTTGATTGATTTTCTGTGGCGGAATATTCATTCGAAAAAGTTCATGGAACCAGATCTGCTTACCTTTCCGGAGTAGTTTTTGGTAGGGTTTGTATTACTCAGTCTTTAGTTTTCTATGTTGTGTTTTGTGTACTGTTGTTTGTCTGTTGGTCCTTTTCTTTTTAGCCCTGGCGTTGTCAGTTTATTTTCGACTTATAAATTTGAATGTCCCTTTGGTATCTCTATCCTCTCTCTTTCATCCTTAACCAAAAAGATTGTAAATCATTTAAAAATTGAAGAAATAATGTTTATTTAAAAAACATCACCCTTCACGAAAAAGTCGTCAGTCGTTCCCAAACCGGATGAATGGTATAAATGCCTAATTAAGCGATTTTTAAATAGTTTGAATGACGACAATAAGGGAGTCTTGTAACCGTTATTACCATTTGAACATAGAAATATGATATGTATATTGTCGTACCTACCCAAATTCTCCGTTGATATATCAAGAAATAAGTGTTCAGGAAACACATCCATCTGACAACATGCAAAACGTTCGTCAAACCGATGGACAATTTGACCATGATTGAACGATAGAAATAACTTTTTCTTTAAGATCTAGGTTCTGTGTATACATCACTTCAACTGAAATTAAGAATACAATTAATTTGAAATTAAGAAACGTCATTTCACAGCATTTGCATTAATTGCAGCATAATAACTAATTTCTCAAAGGACTGCATCAGGCTAACAATTAGAATACAGTAAGGAACATATCACATGTATGACGGAATATCCCATTGAGTACGAACCGACTGTACTTTAAATACGAATTCTTTACATGAATAAAACATTTTCTCGACAATTAAACAGTTTTATGGATAGACTACATTTTAACCAGGCGTACATACAAAAGTTAGTTCCCAAGCACAACAAACGAAAATCGAATCGCCGGTTTGCAATATAGATTTTTTTCTCTCAATATTTTCATATAACCGTTGATTGTTAAAAAATAAAACTCTCCTTTTTTCTAAATGTTTAGTTTAAATTCTTTATTTCAGTCGTATTTCAGGACCAACATGATGAAAACGTTACATTTGGGGAAATCATTTCCATCGACTGTGCCGTAGATTCGCATCCACTGATAACTGAGTTAACAAAACTAACTTGGTCAATTAATGGAAGCTGTGTAAATATTAATAACACAATGAAATATCTTCAACCAACACCAACGAAGCTGACAATACAAAATGCCAGGTTTAGTGACCAAGGCATGTACACATGCGCAGTTGAGAACGATAAGGGGAACGGAACTAATAGTGGACTTTGGCTTTATGTAATTGGAGGTAAGCAAAATTCAAAGTTTAAATGCAAGCTCGAAATATTTAACCACTCTTAAATGTTGCTTCCTTTACAAATATTAATTTCAAATTTGTTTTGACAGTCAGATCGACAGGGGATCGATCCTACAACTTCATGCAATCAAAGTAATGTCACTTTAAAGATACGACCGAGCCGATATGACAATTATTTTTTCATGTTTTTACTGTTATAACAAAATAGGCGTTATAAATATTTAGCCCCTAAGATGTAGAAAATTAGAAGTGAAAATTAGAAAACTATGTAAACTGGTGCATCTTAAACTCGTTTCATGATTAACCTCCACAAAGGACCCTTAAACCCAAAAAATCGAATGCCAAGGATGTAAACAATTTATCAACGACGAATTCAGAAAAGGTTATAAATCATGTCAATACCGAAACACTTATCACTGAGATGATTGTAGCATCAAGGTTTATCATTCTATCAGGATTCCACAGCTCCAGTTATGTTTGTTTCTTGTCTAAATTCACATATAGAAATGTACGAAGAGTTATTATCGTATGATATCAATTTTCCCATTCTGAACATTTCATTTCGGCGAAACAATATTTCTGCAGCGCCTAAATACTAAATATAGAGAATATGCATATCCCCATTAATACGATATCCTTGATAAAGTGTTGTTAAATCAAGTGTGAACTTTCCATTTCTATGTAGCAACATTCCAGCAACGCTTGCATACAGAGTATATATTTCCCAGTTGATACGATATTCCAGGGCTTGTATTCCCTATTATGATTTATAGAGGGTTGCTGTTCACAAGGAAGCTATCAAACCAAGAGTTCCAAGTGGTACAGTTGAAATCATCCCTTCGTTAATTTTACGGACGCCATCACGAGTTGGTTGACCGTTATGGAATATCTGTTTCACAGATGACGACGGATATGTTCCAATTGTCGTAACTACAATTCCGTCCTCTTTCCCGCGAATGTGACCTACCGAATTAAACATATTACCTGCTTTGGACCTACATGAGCAACACGACGAGTGCCAAATCTGGAGAAGGATCTGCTTACCCTTTCGGAGCACATGAAATCCCCCCAGTTTTTGGTGGGTTTCGTGTTGCTCAGTCTTTGGTTTTCTATGTTGTGTTTTTCTTTATTAGCCATGGCGTTGTCAGTTTATTTTCGACTTATGAGTTTGAAGTATGGGTAACCTTCGCCCCTCTTTATAGATGGGAAAGTTGAAGTCATCTCTTCAAACTTTTACTGTTTTTTTGATTTGGTTGAACAGTATGGTAAATCTGTGTCACGAAAGACCACACACACGTTTCACTTGTCGTATTCCCTTTTTCGTTTTTGGTGGGGTTCTGTTGCTTACTCTTAAATTTTTGAATAATGTTTTATTGACATTTGGTCTTTTCTTCTTTTTGTCATAATGTCTGTTTTTATTCTAGATTTTGATTGTCTCTTTATATCCTCTGACTTCTTTACATCGAGATTGAACAAACACATACAAAACTTTATAATTTTTGCATGTTTAACGACCGTATGTTTCACAAGATGGACATACGACAAGCTTTCGGGGAAAAAAGGACCTGTTTTATAAGATCATCTCCTACATTTCTCTTACAAAAGTCTTCAAACGATAACGAATGTATTTACACATTATTTTGGTTCTCAAGACAAATTGGAGGTCAACTTCGATATGGTCGGTTATTACGTTTGCCTTCTAGGAGTAACGGTTCTTGATTGATTGAAATATAACGACGCTTTTTGTAGTTTCCTTGCTGTTTTTCTTCCTGAAACGACTCAAATCCTTCCATAACCAGATATGTTAAAGCGCCAACATTACTGTGTTTGTCTCTATGGATATCAATTTAAAAATAAGATGTGGTATGATTGCCTATGAGACAACTATCCACCAAAGTTCAAATGAAGTTGATGTAAGCAATTATAGGCAACCGTACGGCCTTCAACAATGAGAAAAACCCATACCGTATGGTCGGCTATAAAAGGCCCCGACATGAAAAATATGAAACAATTCAATTGAGAAAACTAACGGCCTAATTTATAACAAACCAATTTACGAAAAACAAATATGACAGACATGAACCAACGGCAACCACTGAACTACCTAACCTGGGACAGTGGTGTAACAGTAAAACATAAGAACAAACTATAAAAATCAGTTGAAAAATGCTTAACTCATCAGATGGATACATGTAACAAAAAACACAGAGTAGACGTGGACGGGTACTTGTACATCCCAAAAACGAAAAGACACTAAGTATAGATCTGAGAGTACTCGCAGTTACTGACAGCTACTTCAAAGCCATTAACAACTAATGAAAAAAATCATGTATCTAAGACTATGATATCAATCAGTACACATCCAACATCAAATGGATTTAGTGTAAAGACATCATTAACAGTCAGAGAAAAACACGACTTTTGCAATGCTAAACTATAAGTATCGACAGATTGTAGTACCGTGAAAGTACATATTTGTAATATTTAGTATGGTTTTAATTTACTGATAACAAAATCAATATTTATGCCAATAAAAACAATATTCAAAGATTTAATTACAGTGTTAATTACAATTTTACAGCGTATTTAAAACATCACCTTTACATTTTGCCTCTAATTTGTTTCAGATCATTGTTTGGAAAATTAAACATCATCCTACGTTCAGTAGATGCATACAAATAGTATAAACGCTGATATCCAAAAACGTATTATAAGAAAGATGAATTTGATCAAAGAAATAGACAATAAAAATAAGTTTTAAATTTTATTGATGCAAATAAATATAAATACGGAAACAAAACTGCCAAATTTATCACAAAGTTCAACAGACCGCATCAACCAACAACACCATATTCTTCCTTAAACCAAAGACATACAAGTGAAGACAAACAATTACGAAACTCAAATGACTTGGTATAAACGAAAAAAGCGGTGGGAAAAAAAAAATTACGGTCGCACAAATCTTCAAATCTGATCAAACCTAAATCTTTGTTCAAAGTCGGCATGTCACAGATCAAAAACATAAACTATTCGAGGAATTTTATATACATACATATATACCTTAGGCTGTTTTCTGATCTTTGGTCGGGTTGTTGTCTATTTGACACATCCCCCTTTCCATTCCCAATTCTACACAATAGATATTAAAGCATAAAAGATATAGAATATATATTTCATGAACAGCTAGACAAAGCTGAACTAAGTTCAATAAGGTCAACACAAATAAAAGCTAGAAATAGAACTTTAATAAAGCATTTAAACAGTAACATAAAACACGGAAGCAAAGTCAGCACAAATCATAAAAACACTACGCAAATAAAACAAAAATAAGATTAAGAGTATAAAATGCAGCCCTACAATGATTCAAAGCTGTAACATAAAACATAAAAATAATATTAAGCACATGCATTACAATGGGATGCATTGCCAATCCAGGAGTTTATTAGGCTTTTGAATTGAGTAACATATGTTTTAGTTCTTAAATTGTTTGGCAACTCATTCCACAATTTGACTGCAGAATATACTGAAGGATTTCAAGCCATACCTTGAGGTTTTTACTACAGGCATTTAAGCTAAGTTTTGACATCTGGAAGAATATTTCGTTTCTTTGATGTTTATGTGACTATGCAGGTATACTGGATTTTCCTTATTCACTATTTTAAATACCTCTATTGCCATCGTTTTCAGACGTCTTACTTCAAGAGATTGAATTTTTACAAGCAAATTATCATTTGAGCTGTTATAATCCTGGTAAATGAAGCGGAGTCTTTTAAGCTGTTTAAAAAATTCAGCTGTCCAGATGCTTTTTTTTTTTTGCAAATGTTGGAGATGTGTGTTTTGAAATTTAGTTCAAAATCAGAATTGATGGCTAATGACCTCTTTTTCACATGTTATTTTGTTACCAGCCAGGTCAAATGCAATACTTTTGTCCATTGTTTTTTTGACAATTGCCAAAGCTTCAATTTTATTAATTTTCAAAGGTCAATAAAACCATATATTTATATGCCAAAAAAAAAAAATTGTTTTATAATATTCCACTGCGTAAATAATAGTTTAAACCTATTTTCAGACTTCCCGAATGTCCACAGTAGTATAATTTACAACACAGTTCAATACTCAGCGGTTATAAGCGTAAACGAGTCATCAACACTTATACTGACTTGTAGTTATGAATCCTTCCCACCTGCAACAGGTCTAGAATGGCAAAAACAAACAGTTAATATTAACCCGACGTTGTCAGAAAGAACCACTGGCGGCTATTTGAATGACCCAAACATCACTTTCACATCGGTAGAAAAATCTGACGAAGGAAATTATACGTGCTTTGTCACAAATGCCGTAGGTAGACGTGCTGGAAACTCAGTATATATACAAGTGAATGAATGTAAGTATGTGTCTTTACTTTAATTAACTGACTGTACGTCTTATAAATGTTATTACACGTGATACGTTAGGGAAAGAAAAATAAATAAAGATGGCAAAGTGTATAAGTAGTATCCGGAATCTGTCATGTATTCTCACACTACCAATAATAACTTTTGAAAAGAATGTTGATGTCATCTGTGACCACGAAAATAGTACGACAGAAATCACTTTTTAGGTTTTGTAAATGTATATCTGTGACAACTGATGATACAATTTGTAGTAATTAAAATCAACCATTTGGCATAAAATATTTTAAGCATTTCTATTGTTCGGTCGATCCACAGATGAACCTGTTAAGGATAAGAAGAAGAAAACCCTATCAAATTCTTTCATCTTATGGATTTTGATAGTTCGTATTGACCCTGTTGAACAAAAACAAAAGCGGGTTAGTAATAGTAAAATTATTTAGTAACGTATACAAATAGTAAGTTATGTATATTTTCTAATCATGTTATTTAAGGTCTTTTTTTCTCGTCTGCGATGAAAGTCGCAAAATGCGAGACATAATACTTACAATCCGGAGAAGGCGTAAACTATTTGTTTAAAGCTTTCTGTTTCAGAAGGCAGAAGACCTGGATGCTTCTTACCTTGTATGTAGATGCCTTATGTTACGATACGAAGTTTCCGTCTATCATATGTCCATTGTGCTTGACCTCATTTTAATGGTTCATCGACTACTTGAAAACTTTTTATAGTTTTTTTTTGTCATATGAACTACTCACTAATTATGAGTAATAGGATATCTATATTTGGTATTTGGGATACTTGCAAGGTGTATTTGTCTGTCAGATAGGGTTCACATGACCTCAAACTCATATGAGTATTCAAGGTTAAGTTTTCGTGGTCAAGTCCGTATCTAAGATATCATAAGCATATAGGTCAACTATATTTGATTATGGAATGATTATAAGGTGGACATGTCCGGTTTTATCTGACACTAACCTTTTTCATGGTTCATTGGACAATGTTTAATTACCTGGTCTCGTCAGTTTATCAATAATCATAACCAATAGGTTAATTGTATTTGTTTTACGGAATGATTGTAAGGTGTACATGTCTGTATGGCATGGTTTATCTAACTTTGATCTTATTTTCATGTTTTATTAGAAAATTTTAATTTTCATGGTTATATCTAGTTTTTTTTAATTACTATAAGCGATAATTCAACTATTTTAAATGAATGCATGGTAAACATGCTGTCTGGCAGGGTTCGTTTAACCTGAACCTCGTTGTTCATGGATCTTTGGCCAATGTTCAGTTTTCGTAATTAGGTCTGTTTCTTAGGAGATAATAGCAGTTAGCTTACTATATTAAGTGTATAGTATGATTGTAAGGTGTACATGTCCTTCTGGGGTCTGACTGTTCCTGACCTTGACCCCATTCTCACGAATATGTGATATTTGTAGTAAAACCTTCATATAACAGACTTTCAACATAAGTTCATACACAATAAGAAAAGCAGGCAAGCCATTTCAGTGTATGCACTCATTTTTAGAGCTTACATTTTAGGGAGCTACCATTTGATTTTTATGGGGGGTTAGGTTGAAATTTGAAAAAAAGGCAGGACAGAAGTTTTGAGTAAAAAAAAAGGCAGGACGAGCAACTTGGCAAAAAAAAAGGCAGGATGACAATTTATTTAAAAAAAGTCAGGATAAACTAATAAAAAAAGGCAGGACCGAATAGAGTGAAAAATAAAAAGGCAGGACAGAGATTACAACTAAAAAAAAAGGCAGGACAAAATTTTCCATCCTAGCCCCCCCCCCATAAAAATCAAATGGAAGCTCCCTTTAGTATTTGATTTTCTTTTCCAGCTATAGATATGTGCACATGTCCCTGTTCTTTCAAAAAAAAGATCAATTTTTGGAAAATGAAAAATTTTACTAAGGAAGAAATGTTAGCCTATATGGAACCGTCCTTAAAAAAGGTCCTTGACGAAATGAAGCTCGAAAAGGAAAAATTGTCACAATCCATTCGTAAACGTACCAGTGCAAAAGATGACAGGAAATCGTCCACGCAGATTGGAATTGCGGGTATAGTTTTCATTGTTGCTACGTTCGGAGTGATAATTGTTTTCGATATTGTTTCCATAAAAAGGTATGTGCAAAACGTCAGAGAAGCGTTTAATATAACCTAATCATCAGGTTTATACCTTGAATTATTAATATTGGAATATTGTCGTTAGAATACACTTCCATATACACTTATTTGTATATGTGAGTATAGGTATCTGGAATTCAAAAACTAAGTTACAACCAAGTCTTGAACATTAGTAATATATTTATCACTTTTTCGAAAATCTAATGATTGATTCCAGTATTAATAGTTTTAGAGGCAAATTTAAAATTTTGTTTACGTTGATACAAAGCCAGGTCGTTTTTGTTTTGCCTTATTCTATAAAGAAAGCTTCGGCCAAATTTGCAATAACATCAAATGTATGCCAAGCTTTCTCTGATTTGCAGAATTCAATTTGGAATCTCTGGTGTTTTTTTTTATTAAAATCATTGCAGCTTTGTTTATAAACAATAAACCCCTTTGAATGGTTAGACAGTCATCAATATTGACAGAAAAAAATCGGTAAATAAAAAGATGTGTTAATTTGTTAACTTGCACACGCTTTGAAATAATATAGATCTCAACCGTTGCCCCAAAAGATATTCACACATTAATTCTACTATGTGTTTTCCTATTCACTGTCAAAATAAATATTTGGCTACTCCATGGTTATTAAGCCCAATTTTCAACAGCATTAGCCTCTATTGGCATAAAATTAAATAATCTCAAAATAACGTCAATTTAAAGGCGTAGTGGTTAAATTGTGTCAGCCTTGCTTGTCTAATATTCATATTTTCTGAAAGGATTTTTCTCCTGAAGCTATCATATATTTTTTCTATGATTTTAACGGGGCAAATAACCCAAAACATGATATTTTTCCTGAAGAAAAATTTTCATTTTAATTTACTATGCCACTGCTGGTGGAGTTTTTATTCCTCGAGGGTATCACCAGCCCAGTAGTCAGCACTTCTGTGTTGACATGAACTATCATTGATATGGTCATAATTATAAATTAACTGTTTAGAAAACTTTGAATTTTTGAAATACTAAGGCTTTTCTACCTCAGGAATAGATTACCTTAGCTGTATTTCGCAAAACTGTTAGCAGTTTTTGGTCCTCAATGTTCTTCAACTTCATACTTTATTTGGCCTTTTTATCTTTTTTTGATTCGAGCGTCACTGATGAGTCTTTTGTAGACGAAATGCGCGTCTGGCGCAAATACAAAATTTCAAACCTGGTATCTATGATGAGTTTATTTACTAGAGTTATGACTTGTTTTGTAAAAAAATATAGTTATATGATAACAGCGTAATCATCCTTTCAAATGATTGATTTTTAGTTTACTTAGCTAGAAAATACAGATCAACACTATACTTTTTAAGACCTCAAAGTTGACTGTGGTATAGATATATGGTACTCCCTTGCTCTTTTTCCGACGGACGGTAAAAACCCTTGCCAAATGGGGCGTCCGTTTAGCTGTGCGGGATGTATACATTCGCAGCAACGATCGGTCAGAAAGGTGAAGCTCTCTGCACGTTTAAAACCCTTGTAGCAACTCTTTGAGGGGTCCGTAGGTGGCCAGTTGCAATGCTTAATTTCTGTCCCTACTTATACATTGAGAAAAGTAGAGTACTGTTCAAGCAGTTACCTTGCAGTCCATTCAGTACTGCTCAGTAGCGTTTTATATAATGATGTTAATGTGTACAGGTGAATAACAGCTACTGAACAGTCTGAATATAGACTGAACCGATCTTATATGACCGCAAGCGAATAGTCTGAACAGTACTAAATTCAACCCAGTGGATAAGTATAAAAATTGACTTTAAGACTGAAAATGACTTAACAACTTTATTGTTCAATCTCCTAAAAGCTGTTTATATCAAAATGAGCGTTTAAAATGAAAATGGTTTACTAGTGATTATTAATTTGTTTAAAATGTGGCACTGGACGTAAAGCAAATAAAAATAAATCAACTATACTTGTATTCTCGTTATCTTTGAATGTTTGTTTTATTTCTATTTTTGATTTTCGGCCCTGTGCTCTCCTTGTAATGGTCTAGAGCCCTCTGTTGAATGGCAGTTATTTTTTTCCTTAGATTTCATTATCAGGGTGGCATATTATTTAGAACGCTATTTTATGTTGCCTCAGTCTTGCATTGTATTGTTGATATTCTCTTAAAGATGTATCATTCCCCGTATCTCCTTGGATACCATTTACTAGTAAGTCTAAATTTTAAATACAGATTTTATATCGACTTTCCAAAGGGCCAATGTTTACTGTTACCATCAAATTAATTCCGCTGGTATCCGTGCGTCATTTATGAAACTCGCATTTTGGTCATTTCCTCATCTCCTGCGAAACCACAATTTCATTTAAAACAAACGTCGGCGGAATATTCCATGGAGATAATTAATAACCTTCAATGTTCTGGATCGGACGCCTCGATTTGTTTTCTAACGAAAAATGGTTCATAAAAATCAGTTAAATGAGAAACCCCCTAAAAAGCAAAATGATAAAACGAATACCTGATCCCCCTCATTTGCTCGAATCAGATGTTAAAACGGCCGGCCAGGATAATTCTAATGTTTGCTTTTTTTAAATATTTTGTAGTGGGGCAATATTCAGTGTGGAACTGAACGTAACATTCAATCATTTCAACAATACAATTTCGAACATCCATCTTGTTTTTTTTTATTATCCAAGCAAACAAATATTCTGTTTTATAATTACTAGTATGATGTACGTTGTGATTTTATTATATTTTTTATTCATAATTGATCGTTATTATACGTAAAACTGTTTGTATAATTTTCTGTTTCGTTTGTGTATTATTTTTAAATTGTTAAATGTGTCATATAGATGGGAAAGTTCAATGGCGTCTTCAGATGACCTGTTATCATTTATCAGCATATAATAAGGCATAGATCGATTACACGAAAAATTCAATGACCCATGTCAAGGGTCATATAAATAGTTAGAATATTGTCAGAATATCTTTGCTATTATTGCATTTTACTATAATAGTTTTGGTGTATTTTTTATCTCAACATTTAGAGTTACAAAACAAAAATTTAATAGTTGCCTCCAATTTTAAAATTGATGTATATTTTATGAATTTTATTGTTAATGTTAGTAACCATATTTTGAGTTAAACAAACAATCAAGGTAACAAACAGTTGTCTATATCATATTATCCGTAGTTTATTTTTTTCTCATATAAATTTCTCACTTATTATGAGTAATTGGATAGTTATATTTGGTACATGGGATCCTTGCAAGGTCTACATGTCCTTCAGACAGGGTTCATCTGACCCCGACCACATTTCATGGATCAGTGATCAAGGTTAAAGATATGTGATAATGTCCGTTTCTCAGATACTATAAGGAGAAGGTCAACTTTATTTGGTGTAAGGAATGATTGATAAGTGTACATGTCCGACTGCCAGGTTTAATCTGACTTTGACCTTATTTCAATGGTTTTTGGTCAATATTCAGTTTTTGTGTTAGATACTAAAAGCAGAAGGTGAACTATATTTAGTGTATGGAATCGTTTATAAGGTACAACTTGCAGGTTTTATCTACCCTTAATCTCATTTCCATGGTTCATTGGTCAGTGTTAAATGTTTGCGTTTTGGTGTATTTCCCAGATACACACATGTACTTTAAGTAACGGGTTAACTATAATTGGTGTATGGAATGTTTGTAAGGTACATGTTCGACTGGAAGGGTTCACCAACCTTCAACTCATTTTCATGGTTAATTGGTCAGTGTTAAGTTTTTGTGTTTTTATCTGTTTCTGAGATACTTTATGTAATAAATAAACTATGTTTTGTTTATGGAACGATTGTAAGGTGTACATGTATCAGGCAGGTATGATTTATCATCTTACCTTGACCTCATTTTCGTGGTTCATTTGTTAATGTAAAGTTTTCATGGCGAGGTCTTTTCATTAGCAATAGGTTAATTAATTTTGGGGAATGGAATGATTGTAAGGAATTAAAAAAAAGATTTTAGTCCAAATAGTTCCATTTAAGACAAATATTCTTTTTTGTTGTACCAAAGTTATGGGAAAATGCCAGGTGAGGGCTACAGGCTCTTTGGAGCTTCTACTTAATTTCAACTGATGAAAGGTTCATGATCGTTCATCCCTGTTGATAAAAATAGTTGTTAAGAACTCATTCTATGGATTGATTTTTTTCCAAAACTTTAGTCAAAATCAAATTTGGCGAGGCTTCAACATTTTAGTATTTAAGTAATGTATATGTATGGTTTTTAATGATGTTTTTATTGTTATATGATCTAGATGTGGTACTTTATTCATTAATGTATCATTTATTTTTATAATAAGCCACACTTTTATCAAAGAAAAGATTTACCTAGAATGTGCTACAATTACCTGTTTCACGTAGATAATAAGAAATAACGTTACCAAATAGCATTGATAGTGCTCTCAGATCCCTATTGCACTTACTGTACTTTTTATGTGTTAAGTATGTCGTACACAAATTCTGATTTTTGTTTATGTTATGGATCTAATGCAAATTAGTGGTTTACAACAATACAAACTTTTAAATAAACTAATCATCCTGTTCAAATTCAAACCTGTCCAAATTGTCTGACTTAAATTTAAACTTGTCACAAAAGAACATATAACGACACGTGTCTTATAAAATATCAAATAAAGACGAACGACCATACCACAATACGGTATATGATGTATGGGTCCATATGCATCATGACAACATACATATTTCAAATTACACTTTAAAGTTTTGTAGTTAAACCTTTATCAAGGAGTCTTTAAAAGATAGCGAGTCCCTCCTCCAATCTGCATTAAGCTAGTTTTACAAGTGCTGAGAAATTAAAGCTATCACAAAAATTAAATGAATGGGGCTATGCCATATTGAAGCATTATCCCATATTTTTAAATCATTTTGATTCTGTAAAGGAGTAAGTATGGTAAGACCCCTTTTTGGCCTCAAAATATAGCATTTTTACAAATTTGTTAAAAACGTATTTTTTTTGGCTATTTATTGGAAAGTAGAATATGTTGTTACAAAAATATGGATTTGTTTTTGACAATGCAATGTACATGCATCCGTTACTAGCATCATCAATTTATGCAAAATTACTTAAATCTTCACAATTTTAGCATTTGTGCTAATTTTTAGACGTTTTTTGTCTAAAATGGAAGTGGCTGCACTTGTGTTCAGTCTTAATATTTAAATATATGTTGTATTTGATGATAATACATAACATATATAAATATTGAGATTGAACACGAATACAGCCACTTAAATTTTAGACAAAAACATTTGAAAAGTGACGTTTTATGGTATATTTGATAGATTCTTCATATTTAAGCTGGAATTTGGACGTCTTTAAAGACCAAATCAGTTCAAATGTTTTACATACACTTATTGTATCGACTAAAGTAGACACTTAAGTGTATAAAAAAATGTCAGAAATCTTTCATCAGATGTACTTCAAATTGTAGGGCAAAATTAGCCCTTACCGGACCTTCTCCTTTCCTGACGAGAACAGTTTTGTATTTCTGTAATATGGATAGAAATTAATTGGTTTTTTCTTTATTTTACTGTTATCTGATGAAAACAAATAGCTTTAAAACAATTTGCATTACGACTCGAACTGTTTTTAAATGGGACCACTCAAATTTATTCCAAATGAATGTTTTGAGCTGATTTGGTTAAAAATCCTTGATGCACGGAAGGCAAATATTGATATCAAGTTCATATGAAGAACATGAGTTTCAAAGAATAAAACAACAATCCCGTCCTCTTTTTCTCGAATGTGTCCTACCGAATTTAACTTATCACCGGGTTTTTATATGGGCAACAAGACATGGGTGCCACATGTGGAGCAGGATCTTCCGAAGCACCTGAGATCACCCCCGGTTTTTGGTGGGTTTCGGGTTGCTCATTCTTCAGTTTTCTATATTGTGTAAGTGTACTGTTGTTTTCGTCGATTTTCGTTTTTTTTTGCCATGGCATTGTCAGTTTGTTTTCGACTTATGAATTTGCATACACCTTTTGTATCTTTCGCCTCTTTTTAAAAATAACAATATCAACAGCAATAATAGTGAAGATATCTTTGAGAGGAATTCTAACAGAGTGCGTTGTTCTTGACCTATTTCTATTTTATGAAAGTTGAAAAGTGACGAAAATAGTTGTTGTCACCGAGAATTAACCTTTTTAGACTTATGACGCAGATAAGTTATCCTACTTATAATAAAAAAATGAAATGCCGTCTGAGAGTTCTTGTCCAGTACGTAGAATGTATTGTTAAACATCTTTTCATTGTGTGGAATTTTTAATAAACATCATGAGAAAACATAATTTTCCTTCTTTATATGTACAATATGAAATGAGCATTTTGCAATTTCACGATAGCTTATGATTTTCAGCATTTTAAAATTCAGCTTGATACATATTTGATATCAGACAAACACTCAATTAGACAAAAATATATGAACTAATTTACCTAACAAGTAATTTTAAAGAAACATGGTATATTTAAGACCTGCTAATTGAAACGGACTTTCAACATAAATCGTTATATATATGTTACAGTGAATTTTTATAAACAGGGATTATGTAGAGTCCCTGATTTTTCAGGGATTTTCCATAATCACTAAAATCATTAGTGATTATATATAATGCCTGAAAATAACCAGTGATTTTACATAATCACTGAAAATTTTATGAATTATTTTACAAATTCCCTGATATTATTTCAGGGATTATCAATAATACAATAATACGAAGATCCTTTGTTTAAAAAATAATAAATCATCTGTTTTTCTCACTCTATTAAGGTTAACGTTGACAATTTTCATTCCCTGTCCATTTATCAAATCTAATTTGAATAATGAAATGTTATTATGTAAATATCCAGTGATATGGTATTTCACTGTGTTGAAGCACATTAACTCGTAAACAAAAAAAGTATTCAAAATTAAAATTAATAATACCAAGATTCTCAATGATAGTGATATCTGCACATGTATGCCATGAATTTATTGTTTGCCCAAAACAGCGCCAAATGCCCATTCATGTTCTGAATATAAATACACAGTGCATGTAATTTGCTGTCAAACAAATGACGATGAAGGTTATTAAACATCTGTTTTATGTTTTCTCTGTTCCAATGAACAAGGAATTCAAACTTAACAAACTAATACAACTAAACGTATTGAACAGACAGAACGCATGCTTGGCAGATTGGGCATAATTTTGGAGGAGGCAAACATTGGATGTAATGTTTTGATACCTATTCTGCATGTTGATCGCTGAAAGGGAGACCCAAAATATCTAATGGCCATTGTTCATGAAAGGACTGAAAAGGTTATTGCCTGGCTACGAAACATTACATTTTGCTTTGATCCTACACAAAAAATCAATTTGAACAGGCTGATTCACTTTTTGGTACCTTCAGATGTTTCTAAAGCATACTTTTTTTCGCTTCAACGTGTGGTAAAATCATAATTCAATACGAGAAGGTCAAGGTGTTTTTTAAAATGGATGTTGTTGCAAAACAAAACCGAAAAGAAGAGCATGCAAATGACTGATTGGTAAATGTGCAATAGTAGATGTCATCCAAATTTACAACGCAGTTGGTAAAAAATAAATGATTTATATTAGAGCAACATTTTGATATTTATGTTTTAACGATGTTTTAACATGATTTGTATAACTTTTATTCTTTGTCTCTTCATTCCAGTTATTATGTATAATCCCTGACATTTGTTCTGGAAAATTTTAGTGATTATACATAATCCATAATCCCTAATTATACACATTTACTGTAACATATATACGTTTCATTTCAAACAGTATTTATCTGTGATATGCAGCTTTGACCTGTCCACAATATTTTTATGATTGTTTTGTATTTTTGTGGCTTATATATTATAGATCAAATGGATTTACTTACTTGCTCAGACTTTTTTCTTGTATGAAATTGGTCAATAAACTGACATTTTTGTTTGATTCAGATTTAGTTTTTCAGTAATGTATAATGTATTTATTTGAACTATTAGCCGTACGCCTAACGAGATATTATAAATCTCATGGAAGATGAAATTGATTTAGAATTAAGAATTGTTCTAATAATAATAAAAAAAAGGTGGCAGAGAGTACAAAGATGGCATTCTATTAATTTTAAAGTGATATCTTCATCTATATCCAAACAAAGCATTGGATAAAGTTTAGATTACTTGGATTGTACTATTAAGTATGCATGAATGATGCATGTGACCAATCGCAAATCTCAAAGTCTAATACATATTTGTACCAAGTCTTATTGAAAAAAAGTAATGGCGTCAAAGACAGCATCCTTTTATAAAGTATGTGAAATAGATTTTGTTGTTGTTATTATTATCCTTAGTTTCAACAACGTTTCAGATGCTGAGATGATTTCATTATTGGTATATAGATATTCAATGTAAAGAATGGGAGCTTCATTTCGTTTTCATAATATCTGATATGTTGTTTTGATATTATTATAATAAATTATGTAACTTTCATTATCTTGTTTTATATGTTTTATGTCCAAACTAAAAGGTTTTACACAACTACACGAAGGTACAAGACATTCATCAATATCATACCTATATTTTTTTTTAATAACACATTCAGCAATACAAAATATGTTGATAATGAGCATTTAATGGAAATGAATAAAAAATTTGGCTGTAAAAATAATTTGGAGAACAACGCACAATAATCGACTTTTCAACACATAAACGTGTAGGAAAGATGATTAATCCTTATGAGGTATTTAACCAAACATTCACAAATAAACACAAAATGGTCGCCTACATGTGAAAAACTAATAGGTAAATAAAACAACAAAAGTTAACCGTTGTTCAAATGCCATCAATCGATTGAGAATACAAATCAAGACAACAAACAAAAAACAAAGGGAATCGCATCAACTCAAAAAGGAACGAGACTGGGTGCTAGGGCAAGCGTCTTCTGCAATGCATGCACCACCCGCCATTCGAACCCCTACTGAGTAATAAAGATCAGATTCTTTTAGTTTTAAGTACGGAATGCATGAGAACACTTATATAGAAATGATGAGAATGAGAAAAACCCATACTGTATAGTCAGCTATAAAAGGCCCGACATGAAAAATATGAAACACATCAATTGAGCCAACTAAAGGCCTTATTTATAACAAAACAATTTACGAAAAACAATATGACATACATAAACCAACGACAACCACTGAACTGCAGTGTCCTGACTTGGGACAGGCACATATAGAATGTGGCGGAGTTAAACATGTTTGCGCGTGTTTATACATCCCCATAACAAAGAAGACACTAAATACATATCTGAGAGTACTCGTAGTTACTGGCAGCTAGCTGAAAGCCAACAACAACAAATGAAAAAAATCATGTATCTAAGACTAAAATATCAATCAGTACAAATCCAACATCCAATGGATTTAGTGTAAAGACGTTACTAACAGTCAGAGGAAAAACATGACCTTGTGCAATGCCAAATTACAGGTATCGACAGATTGTAGTACCGTGAATGTTCATAATATTTAGGTTGGGTTTGATTTACTGATAACAAAATCAATATTTATATCAATAAAAACAGTATTCAAAGATCTAATTACAGTGTCGAATTCGTAACCTTTTATAATAAGTTTATTTAAAGGATTGATAATTTTACCCGGATCGTATCTAAATTTCCGGGCTCGGTAAACAACATCATCGTAAAAATTAGGATGTTCTATTCTGTTTGAAATAAGTTATCTACAGGTACAGCCAAACTTGCAAACCAAATCTGTGTATCTATGGAAACATTTAGTAAAGGTTTTAAGTCATTTGTGGTAACGAAATCACTGACTTAATGATTTACCAGTAATACACAGATTACGCTCATTGAAATCCAAACGTCACTACAGACACGGACATAGCGAACGAGTTGGGATATTTAAACACCGTAAGACAGTGCGAAAGCAAGATCAATGTCAAAAAAGGAAACTTAACAATAGGGAAAGACAAATCGTTCCTTTTGTCGTAAATTTTTTTGTAGAGTTTCTCGTGTAAAACTGATATATCTAAATCTAGGAAAGGACTGTTATTACTGTTAATATTTGATTTATTTAAAGTAAGTTCCTTTGGGTAAATTTTGGCAGTATATTTAGAGAATTCTTGATTATTTAACGAAAAAATATCAAGATAACGGTAAGTGTTGTTGAATTTATCAATTAAATGGAATTTAGACACGTCTTTTCTGAGTTTCACCTAAAATTGTGCTTCATAACAGTTAAGGAACAAGTCTGCTATTAAAGGGGCACAATTGGTGCTGAAAGGAATATCTACAACCTGTCATTAAACTTGAATGCCGAAACGTACATAAATTTTGCCAAGGAGAACATTTACACATTAATAATCTCATCACACCTCCAGTAAGTATATCTAACATATTTAACTCTCTCATTAGAGAAAAAGGCTTTATATGAGTTGCAGCAAATAAATTTGCAATTAGATTTTTCAAACGACCATTTAATTAAATAGGAAAAAAATTGTTTGATAAGATGGTGTGGAAGTGTATGATCTAGAGTGGAAAAGTCAAAAGTGTCAACCGATTCAAAAGGACCACCAAAAGCACGTGATTTTTCTAAAATATCCAAAGATGTTTTAACACTCCAAAAATAGTTTAAATCACTATTTTCATATGTTTTATTACAAATGTTAATGATAAGTTCTTTGATAGCTGTAGTTAAGGAAATAGTTAAAAAGCAATGAAAGATTAGAAGTAAAACACTTACTATAGGCCGAGATGAAACGATATTTTAAGGGTTGTTTATGTTCATTACTTGGAATCAATTACCACCATATATCGTGTGCACTTCATTTATCTATTAAGTTTACTTTTGTGTAGCTCAAAAAATATATAATAAATTGCGAAGTCTTTCAATTTCTGTAAAAAAGGCCATATACCAAGGGGCATACACAAGTAAAATTTTAACAAACAACAAAATGGCAAAAACGAAAACGACCACCCTCCATAAAAATCCCATGGAAAAAACCAACAATCTACAATACACTACACTGAAAACAAAATATTGGGCTATAAGAATCCCATAAAAAAATCATTAGTATAAAAATAAGATGAGGTATGATTGTCAATGAGACAACTATCCACCAAGTTCAAATAAAGTGGATGTAAGCAAGTATATGCAACCGTACGGCCCTAATCAATGAGAAAACTCCATACCGTATAGTCGGCTATAAAAGGCACCGACATGAAAAATATGAAACAATTCAATTGAAAAAACTAACGGCCTAAATTAACAAAACAATTAACGAAAAACAAATTTGACAGACATGAACCAACGACAACCGCTGAACTACAGGCTCCTGACTTGGGACAGGTACATAATGAATGTTGAGGGGTTAAACATGTATGTGAGCGCTCACTCCTCTCCCTAACATAGGAGAGTGGTGTAACAGTACAACATAAGAACAAACTATAAATCAGTTGAAAAGGCTAAACTCGTCAAATCAATACAAAGCAGAAAAAACATCAAACATAAACACAGACCACTGTCAAGGACGTGTCAGGGTATTTATCCATCCCTCATCTCTAACAACAAAAAGGACCCTAAGTACAGATCTGAGAGTACTCGCAGTTACTGACAGCTTAGCCTAGTTCAATGACAACTAATACAAAAATCATGTATCTAAGACTAAAATATCAATCAGTACATATCCAACATCCAATGGATTTAGTGTAAAGACGTCATTAACAGTCAGAGAAAGACATGACCTTGTAATGCCAAAATAAAGGTATCGACAGATTGTAGTACCGTTAAAGTGCACATGTGTATAACAAAACTATTTAGTATGATTTTAATTTACTTATAACAAAATCAATATTTATACCAATAAAAACAGTATTCAAAGATCTAATTACAGTGTTGAATTGGTAACCTTTTAGAATAAGTTTATTTAAAGGATTGGTAAGTTTACCCGGATCGTATATAAATCTCCAGGCTCCGTAAACAACAACACCGTAAAATTTAGGATCTGCTATTCCGTCTGAAATAATTTTTTTACAGGTACAGCCAAACTTGTAAACCAAATCTTTGTATCTATGGAAGAATTCAGTAAAGGTTTTAAGTAATTTGTGGTAACGAAATCCCTGACTTAATAATTTACCAGTAATACATAGATTACGCTCATTGAAATCCAAAATGTCACTACAGACACGGACATAACGAACGAGTTGGGATATATAAACACCGTCCAAAAAAGGAAAATTAACAATAGGGAAAGAAAAATCATCCCTTCTATCGTAAATTTTTGTGTAAAGTTTCTGGTGAAAAACTGAAATACCTAAGTTTAGAAAAGGACACGTATTGCTGTTAATATTCGATTTATTTAAGGAAGTTGCTGTGGGTAAATTTCGGCAGTATATTTAGAGAATTCTAGATTATTTAACGAAAAAATATCATCAAGATATAACGGTAAGTGTTGTTGAATTTATCAATTAAATGGAATTTAGACGGGTCTTTACTGACTTTGGCCATAAACTGTGATTCATAACAGTACAGGAACAAGTCTGCTATTAAAGGGGCACAATTGGTGTCCATAGGAACACCTACAATCTGTCGATAAACTTTATTGTCGAAACGTACATAAATGTTGTCAAGGAGAAAATTTATGGCTGTAATCATCTCATCACACCTCCAGTAAGTATATCTTGCATATTTATCTTTCTGTTATATAGATACAATGGATAAGCGTGGATTCTTGAAAAAGAAACCATGAGCCCGGAGGGCGAATGGTTTGTTTTTCATGAATCTAGGCTTATCCATTGTATCTATAACTTAAACTATTGTGTTAATTTCTTTTCAAAATTAAAGCCTTTTCTTAATTAGAAGGTATTGTAAGTGAGTTTAAATAACCATGTTATCGTGTCCAAAGATGCATTGATAAATCTCAGATCACAATTAATTGGTTAACAAAATACAAATATAACACTTCTACCTTTAAAGATCTTTATACTATCAGGCATCTGAATATTATCTATTTTTACAAAATAAGACATTTTCAAACTTATTTCCAATAAAATTGAGAATGGAAATGGGGAATGTGTCAAAGAGACAACAACCCGACCAAAGAGCATATATAAAGTATATATAATAAGTATGTTACCGAAATTTCTAGCACTCTAGGCACATCACGATTTTCTAGCATAGGAATTTGCGAACAAATATTTGTAAAATTATGTAGTAAAACAGATGAAATAATACTATATTTATACAACAAAAACTGACAAATAGAATGTAATCATTTTTGTTTCAAACATGTGAAATAGCCAATAATAATCCAAAAAATAAACGGTAAAACACGCTATTACATGTATTACAAAAATATCCACTATAACATGCAAAATTAGAAAAAAAAAACAGAATTGGGACAACAGAGATAATACAGGGATTCGAACCTAAACCGACAAATCCCTATCTTTTAACTCGTTGATTTTAAGCATGCTA